GGTATGTGTCTCCAGTCGGATGCCTTGACCACTTATCATTTTCAAGAGCTGACATCGACTAACTAGATGTGAAAAAGAACTGGCATCACTGATAAGTTAGAAATGTGGTGGCTTGCTCAATGCGTCAGTGGCGCCACCATGACAAATGCAAGCACATTCCCAACTAAAACATTATTTGCGATGAATGTGATTGTGAGTGCTATGTCTGTTTGTCTGTGGTATTACCAACAATCAATACGAAACTATCGATTTGAAATTGGCCCACTACTTGACTAGCCTTTTGGTCCCAAGCAAACGATTAACGTATCCCATTCTAGTCGGAATTCTAGTACTACACTATGTTTGTTTTGATTCTCTATGATAGTTTGACAGATAAAATGAGGGGTTCGTGGATTTCCCCATGTTTCGAGGGGTGCATCGATTAGCTTGGGACCGAAGATAGTATCAGAGCTGAGCCAAAAAGTTGAGCACGTTTCTTTGGGACCTTCTAGTCTTAGAGTTACCTCTATGGTATTACCATAGAGGTAACTCTAAGACTAGAAGGTCCCGAAATAACGTGCTCAACTTTTTGGCTCAGCTCTGGTACTCTCTTCGGTCCCAAGCTAATCGATTCACCCCTCGAAACATAGGAAAAACCAATAACCCCTCATTTTATCTGTCAAACTTTCATAGCGAATCAAAACAAACATTGCGTAGTACTAGAATTTCGACTAGAATAGGGTACGTTAATCGTTTGCTTGGGACCAATAGGCTACTAAAGTGGTGAGCCAATTTAAAATCGTTAGTTTTTACACATTGCGGATGAATTCTAGTCCCAAGCATCATCTATTGGTTCTCTGTGTAATTACAGCTGATCTGGCAATAGCAGAGTATGTGAACGGTCATGCTCATGCTCATAACTGTAGCACAAAACCGTTTCTTGTTGTGTTTGTCGTATTAGATACTTGATAAAAACTTCTTTTATCGGTCTGTGTGCTGAAAATACCTGGGAATGTCTTTACATGGCCGAGGGGTTTCAAATAAATACATTGGATTCAAATTAAATACCTATCGACCCATCAACTCATGGACCAACGGCTTTACTTCCCTTCCGAGGGAAGGTGTGATCAGAGATTTTATGCCTCAGAAAATCCCGACGGCTCCGGCTAGGATTGAACCAAGGCCTTTTGAAGTGAGAGGAAATCACGCTTACCACTACACCGGCGTCGCTTATTTGCAGAGTTATTTCCTATCGATTGATGTGTTTAGATTTCATTTTCACCAAATGACAAAGAATAAGCGTTCAAAACCTGTTAGTGACGGTTGCAATGTTAGATTTTCGATTTACCCGCAAGGAATACTATACGTCAAATTGATTTGAATTTTTGGAATTTTTAAAGTTTACTTGGATTTAAGATCACTAAAATTTGCCAAAATATGCTTCATAATTTAGATAATTTTTTGAAGCCCGAAATTGAAATGTTCTTAAAAGTCTCACTCTAGTAAGAAATATGACAGGGCTGAGCTCAAGTGATACCCATCCGGAAACCAGGCATGGATTCTCCCTATCCTGCCAGCTACTGACCTATCAGCCGTGTCTCAATGTTATCTCAGCTGTTGGGAAAAGAACAGTTCTAGGCCAACAATTGAAATAGGCGGAACAACCAAACGTAAACAATGGCTTTAAGGTGATTCCCCGTGGCGTCCTTTTTCGTGTTACACTTCGCAATTTCACATATAAAAATAATAAGGTTTCTGTGAATGCACGTAGCTGAAACTACTACTTGTTCTATGCTGCGGAGAAGCAAGCAATGTCTGAAATTTGCAGGTGTATAAACCTTGTAGATCTTGAGTTGTGTGCTCTTGAAATTGCGAGGTGTGATGGAAAAATGGACTCTACAAGGAAACACCTTAAACACAAAATTCTCGAGAATCAAAACACTCTCACGTAAACTAACAATGCCATTCGATAGAGGAAGTTTGCTCTAGCAGATGACGGTGTTAGATTGCTTGGATGTGCTTTGATTCATGAGGAATTTGGGTTTAAAGCCATTGTTTACGTTTGGTTGTTCCGCCTATTTCAATTGTTGGTATAGAGTTCATCGCCCGGTTTTTGGCCAACCGACTGACTCGAATCTGTGCTGCAAAATCTTGACAGTACACGGTGATATTCGCAATTCTGCTTTGGTCACTCATCTGAACTAGCAGTCATCGTCAAGGCAAACCATGTCAATTGTCAGTGACGAGCATGTTTAGATTTTGTTATTAACTAAATTTCTAACGAAATTAAATGACTTGAGCAACCCAACAAACATTGAATGCTGAATAAGAGCTTATTGAGACAAAAATAAGCTTCTTCAGCTAAAAAATGCCCTCTTCATCTGTTAATCAACTCAAATTGTTTGTTGGGAAAACAATTACGTTCTGAACTGCTTGGATAAAAATAATGTGACACAGAATGCACGACATTTCATTTGTTGTTACCAGGTGAATCTTTGTCATTGACGAAAAAATGAATGATATTTTGACGAAGGTTTTTTTTAGGACCAAATCTGTCAGTGACCAAATGTGAAAAACAATATTGTCAATATCACGCGAAAGACTGTCAATGATAATGGCAAATCTCAGCACTGACTCGATTAACAAATGAATTCTTAAAACTTTTAGTTAGATTATAAATGACAAATATTATAATGTTTTGAACCTTTATCAAGTGTGCACAGTGGGTGTAGGTTTAACCAAATAAATGCAATCTAGGGTTCGGCATTTAACAATTCTAGCATTTAATAAACGAGTTCTTATCGATACTTTTATTTTTCGCATTATTTAACAACCTTTCTCAGGATTTAGGAGTTTACACCAAATTCCGAAATATCTGACGGTTTGCCAGTTTTTATGGACCGAATACGCTCCATGAATACCATATGAAACTTATTTGGATCGAACTTGCGCACCAGATGAGTCTAGCACCCCACGCCACTACCATTACTCCCGGGAAGATTGTTCCAACGAGGCAATTTGAGCGTTTAAAACTATCTGACTAACTTGTAGCTTAATTCTAGCTTGCTCGATGGGTGTCAGGGTTTTCGTAGTCTTCGCCATGCTGAGGAAAAACATATCGATATCATCTCTTTCGCTGGCTGGCGTTAAATCTTCCTCATTCTCAATGTAACTCCCAGCCGGGGTGCCGGCAGATTGCTTCCTCCATTTTTTAGCAGCTTCCCGAGGTCCATCGCAAGGTTCGTCACAGTTCCGTTTTCTCCTCTGGGTGCTACTCTCGGCAATCTCCGGTTGGTCATTGCTAATCGGTCTGGACTGTTGGTCGGGGTGAACGTTATTAGCATCAGCCGAAGATCCGGAAATTGATCGCGGTCGAAGCGGCCTAACTACGGGTCTGTTTTGACTCTGCTCTGGGCCGTAAGACCCATCGGAACTCTCTTCTTGCTTGATGCCGGGCGAATCTAGGGGAATCATCGATTCTCCCACCAAACGGTCACACACCTTGGGGCTGGAGATTTCCAATTCCTCCATAAAACTTTTATCGTCTGTCTCGGAATAGTACTGCTGTTCGTCCGTGTCATATTTGGCCATTATTTTCGACGGATCGATGTGATTGTAGAGAAAGGCCATCTTCTGCTCGAACCGCCACGGGTGCATCCGTTTGGTCCGTCGCCGTTTGATTGCATTCATAAAGCAGCGCCGCAGCTTTTCCCATGCTTCTTTGGCTTGCTCACCTGCGAGAGAGAATGTCAAGTTTAGATATGTGAGAGCAGAAATAATTAATGTTCAGTTTGTTACCTTTAACGTTCAGATGGTTCCCGATGCTGTCCCAAGCTTTGCCCCGCGTGGCTTGGTCCTTGTATCCTTCGGCGTTGTTGTCGTACAGGCAGGGATGGAGGTATACCTGATCGATGACGTTTTCCTCATTCACAGTTGCCTTTGGTTGATTTGGAACGGCACTTTGACTATGGTAGGCCATCTTTAGAAAATATTAAACTGAAAAACTTGATGGTGAACGTCACGTACCTTCATCAGCACTGTCGTTTGGTCACGTAATGCGAGCGTCAGTCGGCAACATACAAACAACACACGCTTGATGAAGGTGACGGATGGTACCAATACATTCAGACGTGAGCTCACGTGTGTGTTTAGTGCAGACAGAAGGATGGCTTCTCTGCTGTCTCGCTCACATGAGTGAGTGGCAAACGGCGTGCTACAGCATGGCTTCCATCTGATAGCAAGCGTGTAGGTACCTCCGTTGTTGGGGTGCGGAGCGAGTGCGCAGTGGTTTATTATTGTCATCGTTTGTTTTGCTCGCTCTCGCTATAATATAAAGTTCGCGTCACTTTTCGAATAGACCAATCAACATTGATCGATTCCCTTCATCGACATTCTCTTTCGTAAATAACTCGGCTACAGAAACGTTACCTGTCGCACGTCTTTGTCGCATTGGATGCCTGGTTGTTGCTTCTTCCATCGAACTGTGTGTCGAAAATGTCCGGAAATATCTTAACACGGCTTTGACGATCCAATGAGAAAGTCGATGAAGAGAATCGATCAGTGTAGGTAGGACCTATTGAAAAGTGGAGAGTGGGTTCTTTTCTATGCCATTAAGAAAGCATTTAAAAACATATACATACACATACGCTATGTAAGGTAGAGCACTACTTCGTCGTAATCGCCCATTTCCGTTCTATAAATCAGAAAAGATCAATAATATCAATGATTTCACCGTGCAGAAATCAATGATAGGTTTGTTCCGATGTGTTAGTTCATTAGCTACAACATAAACCCTGTTAGGCCGACAACATAGTAGAAGCGATTCGAAGCGATTCGATTCGTTGGCAATAAGCGGAGCGCTTGCGTGAAAGCACCCTCTATGAGCGTTCTATGGGAATCGCCCAAACCAGCCATAGTGAAAGCGATGCGAAGAGGTGTAAAGCGTTCAGCAAAGCGACAGAGCTGTTCGTGTTGTGTTTTGACGCCTTCGAACGCAAGTGGACTGATTCTAGTGAGGAAAAATGGACACCGAAATCGATTCGGAAAATCTGATTGCTCTCGTTTTGACGAGAAAAGCGCTGTGGGACAAAACATTGAAACAGTACCGGAACCGGTTGATGGTCGATAAGCTTTGGCGACAAGTTTCCTGTGAGCTGGGAGGAGAGGCAACAAGTAAGTGTAAATAGTGATTTATTTCATAATTAATATAATGTTTTTATTTACTTTACAGCGGATGCAGTGAAGAAAAGATGGAAAAATCTCCGGACCTCGTTTGCGAAAGAGATGAAGAAGATTCCGGAAGGAAGATCTGGTGACGCAGGACCATCGAACTATGGAACATATACATCCTGGCCCTTTTTCGAGTCGATGCTTTTCTTGAAGGATCAAGTAAAACCACGCAAGTCCGGCAGCAACCTTTCGGCTGGTGGTGGTGGCAATGAAAACGATGTGGATGATGAGGACCTCCACGAAAGCGTATCAGAAACCATACCTGAAGAGCCAACCGATAATGCAGATGCATATGAAGTCGCTCCTGCAGCTGAAATAATTCCTCATCCGAACCCACAACCACGAAACAGAGCTGGTAAGCGAGGTGTTCAACAGCAGCTGATTGACATTGAAGCCCGGAAATTGAGACTACTGGAAAAAAAGGCTAATAAGTCTAGTGCTTGTGACGACGATGAGGATGAAGCATTCTTCAAAAGCCTCCTGCCACATGTGAAAAAGCTGAAGCCAAGAGAAAAACTGGAATTTCGAATGGAGATGCAAAGTCTCGTACACAAGCTTGTCTACAAGGACAACAGAACCCAGGATGATCCGAATGTGTACAACATTCAAAGTTCTACGCCGTTGCAGAGCCATGCACCATTTGCTGAGTTTGAAATGAACGCATCACAGACATCTTGTTCACATCAATGTACTCCACCAATGCAACAACGCTTGAATAATATGCTTTATAGTTTTAGTACATTGATCCGGAATTATCTGGACATCTGACTCGAATATGTTTGCCATCAATAGCGCCGATGCAGTTTGGGAAATTCCATTTAGTCCAATACTCATTTGCCACCGATCGAAACATTTGCTCAGTTGGCACTGGCATATAAATCGGCTGAAGAACTTCCCATAGTGCTTGGCACGTTTCTCGGACTACGCTAGCAACCGTTGATTGACCCATACGGAATGAAAATGCGAGGCTAGCAAAAGATGATCCTGTTGCAAGGAACCTGCAAAATAAATATACAAGGTGCATTTGAATATGATGTTGTTCCAACAATCAAACAATTTAAATCATACCTGAGAGTAACAATCAATCGTTCACAAGGTAGAATCGGTTCTTGATTAAAGTTGGTCCAGTCTTTTATTATCTTGTTTGTCACTAGATTCAAAATCACATCGAATGTGTCCATATCCATTCTTGTGTAAGACCGAAACTTCTCTGGATATTTACGGGGATCTTCGTACAACCTGAAGAACTCCCCATCTCGCCTTCTATTTCGATTGATCAGGTGAACTGCAAACTCTCTTTCGTTGTTGATTATTAAATTAATCGTGCTTGAGGAAGCGAAATATTCCTCATCGGATGAATCCATGCTGAATAACAAATTTGAACAAATATTTTGCACTGCGCGCGCGACTGTAATGTTTTCAAAAACGCTTTCACTATGTCATAGGTTGCTTCGCTTGCCACTGCATTTCGCTTTGCCAATTGCTATCGCATCGAATCGCTTCGAATCGCTTCTACTATGTTGTCGGCCTAAGATTTTGGATCACAGCTCTTTCTGCATGATGGGTTTGACATTTTCGCTCCGCAGTGTTCGGACGGCCCCGGGTCGGGTCCTGATTGGCCTCCCGGGGTTTGGACTCGTTTAGTGGGAGGCTGGCTTGGTGCAGGCCGTTGGAGGATTGTATGGGGGTTGCTGTGGGGTGGGGTATCCGGACTTCTTGTTCATTGCCTTCTGGCCTTTTCCGTGTTGCACTGTTCAAAAGTTCTGTAACTGTTCTTGTGGAGAATTTTCTCAGCTATAACTTTGCAGAATATAGGGATTGATAGTCTTGTAGTATGGGGCTGCTGTTTTGTGGGCGACACTGTGTTCTGCGGTGTGACATAGTAGCCATGATTTTGTACTCTATTCTACGCGCCTGAAACACCAGTGTTGCCTGCTGGACAGTTGAATCATGGGGTGGTAGTTGCTTGGATCATTAATAGCTTTTGATGCTTACATTCTATCGAAATTTGGACTTACACAGAGTTGTGGCTGAAAGAGTTTGCTTCAGACTCAGTTATCGTTTTTGAAGCGGAGCGATACGGTGAATTGATGGATGGATATGAGCAGAATGTTTGGTTTTTCCATAGTAATTTCCATGTAGACTTTGGACGGTTGGTGCCGTGTCTTTCTCTTACCGGATGGGTTTGGGTTTTGGGGGCTAGTCGGGGCCCGATTAGGGGCCGTTTGAGCACTGTTGAGCGGAAGTGTTGGATTTTGGTTCCAGTCGCAACTAACTAACCAACTAACAATTTTCACAACGTAAACGCTTTACTCATTTCATTTATACAGCCTCAAGCTGTATTCAAACGTTATACGATATGGAGAAACCTTTACTCAACCTCTATACAAGCAAATCTGGCGAACTTACTCAGCTACTTATGGCTGTTGGAACAGTCGGGAGAAGCTCTTATTTCATATCCCTTAACGCTTCTATACAGCTGTTATCCTGCTGTTTAGCTGTGTGTGAACTTGAAAGGCGCTTATTCAACCTTTTCCCGGTTATCCAATAATCACTACACAGCTTTCTCTTGAAGCCGGGTGAAATACTGTTTACGCTTCTTTATATGAAGGAATTTATTGAGTTTATTTTGCTGTGAATCAAATTAATCGAAATTAGTTACAAATCATCACCAATTTATTTACCCTGCACCGGAACCTGGAATTGAACTCGAGACGACCTCATTGGCAAACCTTGACACTACCAACTGTGCTACGCCAACACTTTGAACTTATGTAAACAAATCAACATTCCCTTCTACAACAAAATCACTGAGTAGAGGCTTTATAATAGTGCACATGAATCACTTTTCTCGACTAGTTATAAAAGAGCAGAGTAAAAGCTGTAAAACTGCACACGTCTAAAAATAAACCTAGTTGACTGTGAAAATGCTTCCGAAGTTGCTCTAACACAGTTTATAAGCTGAGTACAGGTTGTGTAGTTGTTGAAAAAGCACTTTTGATGTTTATGTTATTCAACAAGAGTGGTTGGTTGTGTAGAAGCCATCACATGAGTAACATATTCACTTTGTTAGCTTTGTTTTGCCACTACAAGTTGAAAGTTGATTAGTGTGTGTATAGAAGTGAGATTAGCGTTTATTGGCTGATGTTATTCAGTGCGACTGACACATCCCAACAAACAATTGAGAGCTCTTTTAAAACACCTGAGTTGATCAAACGTTGAATAATAGCTTCCAGAGTTGAACAAGAATGTAGTTGTATTGCCATTTGATTAAAAGTTTTAAAAGCTGTTGGAGCACTCTTAAATGATTTTTTACGTTCGGTTTAACTATATGCTTTATAAGACCTACGATAACTTTTATAGCACCTTAGTTAAACTGATTCACAAGAGCTATACAGAACGTGGAATAAACGCATCAAAACAAACAATTGGGAGCTCTTATAAAACATCTGAGTTGATCAAACGTTGAATAATAGCTTCCAGAGTTGAACAAGAATGTAGTTGTATTCCATTTTTGGTTAGAAGCTTCAAAAGCTGCTTGGAGCACTCTTAAATGATTGTTTACGTTCGGTTTAACTATATGCTTTATAAGACCTACGATAACTTTTATAGCACCTTAGTTAAACTGATTCACAAGAGTTATACAGAACGTGGAATAAACGCATCAAAACAAACAATTGGGAGCTCTTATACAACACCTGAGTTGATCAAACGTTGAATAATAGCTTCCAGAGTTGAACAAGAATGTAGTTGTATTCCATTTTTGGTTAGAAGCTTCAAAAGCTGCTTGGAGCACTCTTAAATGATTGTTTACGTTCGGTTTAACTATATGCTTTATAAGACCTACGATAACTTTTATAGCACCTTAGTTAAACTGATTCACAAGAGTTATACAGAACGTGGAATAAACGCATCAAAACAAACAATTGGGAGCTCTTATACAACACCTGAGTTGATCAAACGTTGAATAATAGCTTCCAGAGTTGTACAAGAATGTAGTTGTATTGCCATTTGGTTAAAAGCTTCAAAAGCTGCTTGGAGCACTCTTAAATGATTGTTTACGTTCGACCAACCACAATTTTGTTGCTAAAAATAGCACAAGTGATAGGCATGTTTATATAACCATAAGGCAATGATTATTCGACTGCAAGAGAAGGCACTCAAGATGAGCTTGATATACTTCTCTCATATGATCAAAATATGTATTCAAGAATAGAGCAGATGGAAACAGAAGCGGCTGGCAATCCGGGATCATGAGTTCGAATCTTGCTTCGAGAAACCTTTGGTGGAGTAGAGGTAAATTATATATAGGTGTTATTAATAAATGCAAACATTAATTTAAGACATATATCATATAATCAACGATAACATTTCTAGATAAATTCTCTCAATTAATGATTAGAGAGATTAATTGAAAGAATATCAATCAAAGATTAAACAGATGCTTGTTACTACTTCCTCCATGATCACAGAATGTGAATTATGGCATAATTACATATTTTTTCAATGTGCACAAATAAATTAAATTAATAAAAACTGTACAAGCAATTATTTTGGCGCACCACGACAATTGTTAAACTACTTTTAATCTGTGAATATTGTGAGTACTTACACAACGGTTATTAAGGAGTCATTAAAAAGTGCTATAAACGCTTTTCACCGCTTGCTGTATAGTGATTATTTAGGAGTCATAAAAGAGTGCAACAAACGCCTCTCAGGTTTACTATCTACTAAATTTCAAAGCAGCTGTCAAGAAGTGTCTACAAACGTTGTATAAGAGCTTTCACCAAAATAATAAAGCTTGAGTTTAAATATGTATCTATAAACGTTATATAAAAGTTGATTCTACTCCTATACCGCGTATACATATAATGCTGTAGTTGAACAGGTTCTCCAAACCAGTGTAAACAAGAGTTTTTCAGAAGTTGTAATAAACAAATTGTACAGTTATTATTCAGCATGCAGTTGAATAAAATCACAATGGAAGCGTTTCTTCAACAAGAAATTGATTTTGGGTAAACGTTTTACTGAATACGTTAGACAACACCTTTGTGTTGCAGTTGTATAGGTTCTCCAAACCAGTGTAAACAAGGGTTTTATAAAAGTTGTGGTGAACACATTGTGCAATTATTATTCTACATGCAGCTGAACAAAATCAAAACGAAAGCGTTTCTTCAACTGGAAATTGTTACTTGGGATTGAATAATGGTTGTGAGAAAGTTGAGTAAACGCTCTCCAAAACTATTTTGCTAGCTTTTTCTTGCAGCTGTATCTGCAGCTTCTTTTCAGCTACTTTACAGTACAACGCTGGAAAAGTTGGCTTACAAAGCTGAAAATGTTAGTTGGGTAGGGCTGCTGGGAAGATTACCGAATTTACTTCTATTCATGTCAATGTCAATAGTAATGCTCGTCTTCCAAACAACAACCCTGTCAATGTCAATGTCAATTAGTTATAGAATAAGCTTATTAATAGAAATGAGTGTAAATCGATTCTAAACTTTATCTAACATTACCCAAAACTCATCTTTAAAATACTATACTAGTTAGTTTGTAATGTGTTTTAAGTAGGTATCATAAGCATGAATAAGAATAGTTAAAAATAATTATCAGAAATTACAAATGATAAAAATTAGTTTCGATAGACTTTTGATAGGACGGCCTTTAATCATATGTTTATATGTTGGATTT